CTGAGTGGATCAGCAGGAACTGCTCTCGCTTTGGGAGCAGAGCAGGCCCTGCTGTCTGGAGGCTTTTCTCCCTGTGACCACAGACCCAACAGCCCTTGAGCAACGGCCACCCATTGGGTGCTCAGTCTTGGGCTGAGGAGGAACATTCTGTTTATGGTGTTACAGAGGCTTGCTCTTCCTGAGAGAACCTTTGTCTTCTGCAGGTGAATGACACTGCAGCTGCAGACACGGACCTCCTCTTCCTCTTCGATAACCAGAAGGTTGCCTATGAGGCTCAGGTCACCTTGCGTCCTCATCCAGAAAGCGTTGACTGCATCCGTAAGGACTTTTTAGCGGGAACGCGAGAGGCTGCCCGCGTTGCGAGGGCTGCCTGTGCCCTGTGTCATGCGCAGAGAGTGGCGAGTTTTTGCATGTTGGGACTGACCAAGCAGTAAGAGGGACTGGCCTCGCGTTCCGTTGGTCAGAACAGCTGAGGGAGGGAAGGGTGTGACGTACAGGGGAAGCTGCACGGGGTTGGCCAACCATTGGCTCTGCAGAGAGGTAACGTGTCCCCCAAAGGAGTGATGTTGCGGTCTGTTTTGTCACGTGACAGCACAACTTCCAGGCTCCATGCTGATACGTATGTTTCCCTCCCCCCGCCCCACTCTCTCTTCAGTTCAGGATCCAAAGAAGAATCTCCACTTTTTCCAGTTGCGGAAGGTGTGGGGGCAGATCTGGCACACGATCCGGATGCTGAAAGAGGACTGTAACCGCCTCCAGCAGGGGCAGCGAGCAGCCATGTACGGAGGCAGTTTCTCTAGAATACTTCTCTCTGCCTTTGCTCCCTGGGGAAAGGGAAGGGACAGGAATGGGTCCCTGTTGCAATGGGGAAGCCCGTGAGTGGAGCCGTTAATGATTAATGAAAAGCTGAGAGTTCTGTCCTCTGACACAACTGCTTTTGTGCTCACCGCTACATGGAAGTACCTGCTTCTGATTTAGGTGGAAGTCTGGTTTTAGTGTGGGAGGGTAATGGGACCTTCTTGTCCACGCAGGATGAATCTCTTGCGTTACAACAGTACCCTCTCCAAGATGAAGAATTCTATGGCCTCCCTTTCCCAGCAACTGAAAGCAAAGCTGGACTTCTTTAGAACAAGCATCCAGATCGATCTGGAGAAGTATAAAGAGCAGATTGAATTTGGAATTAGTGAGTATAGCATCTGCAACAGGTCGTCTTAGGCCTCTTGTCCCCACAAAGTATCTACCTTTTCTTGTACAAACCTGAGAAAAGCGATCACTCTTCTTTTGTTCCTGCAGCTTCTGAGAAGCTGCTCTTTGCCTGGAAGGAGATGGAGCAAGCGGTGGAGCTCTGTGGGCGGGTAAGTGTGTATATCGACTGCTTATCCTAAAGAAAGAGAAGCTTGTCTGTCTCTCCTTTCTTTTTTTCTCTTCGTTCTCCTGCCTTAGGTAGAAACTTCTGGTGTCTGGGCTGATGCCAGATGCTACACCGCCTTGGTTTGGGTGGCACTTTCGTCCACTGCCAGTACTTCATGGAGCTGACCGTGTTTGGAAGGGTTGGCGGGGGGAAAGGGGGACCTTGGGGAATGCGAGAGGACATCCGTGTGTGGAATCTCCTGCTAACCTGCTCCTAGAGCCAGGACAGTTCAAACGGGGATATGGAACAGGTTAAAGTGAACGGGGAAGTGAACCATTTGGTGATTGATCACAAGAATTCTAAGCATCAGTCTTGACTTTGGTAAGGCCGCAGTTGCCATTCCTGGCTCACGTTCCGCACCAGTGAGGCATCAGCCTTTGACGCAGGGCTGCGTCACCCCTCTCGGCAGGGCTGAAAACCGTCACTCCCAGATGAGGAGCTGATGGCCGATTCTTTTCCGATACTTGGTCCTTCTCCCCGGGGAGGAGGCGGAGGGCAGAATGACTCTAACAAGCCACAACATGTGAACGAGTTTAAGCGAAAAGCAGAATCAGGAGTGCCAGGCGTGGATGTGGTTATGTCCTGAGGGAAAAGCGGGGATGGATAGGATGAGAGAAGAGATCTGGAGATCTGGAATAACCAAGGAAGAGGAAGCGTGGTGGCCTGGAAAGTAGCAGTACACTTACTACAAAGTCTGACCCATCAATGGCTCTTTGTTGCAAGCTAAACTTCTTATCAAAGAATTATTGGGAGTAGTTTTATCGCAGAGCAGCAAGCTAATTTCCTTGAATTCAAATTACTCATACTCCCACTGGTCTTTGTCCGAGGCTGCTTTTGCATCTTGCCAGCCTGAACTGAAAGAAGTGTCAGTGAGAAAGGAAGAGCCAGTGGGAGCGACGCTTAGTATGAGACTGTCCCGTTGCTTATGTTCTGCCCTGCTTTCAGGAGGAGGATGTGGATCAGCTGGTGAAGAAGATGATGGCCCTGCAGACGGACATTGTGGACCTGCAGAGAAGCCCGCTAGGTCGCAAACAAGGAGGGACACTGGAGGATTTGTGAGTTGAACGACCTTGGACTTCAGCTGCAGGAGTTTTGCTAGCTAAGCTTACTCACTGCAGGACAACGCAAGTCCCTGGGCTCTTCAGCCCAAATCGGGGCGCTGGGGAGGCCTCTGACGCTAAAAGACAGGTTTTGACTCCTTACTGGTCACGGGTCTTAGACAGCCGAGTGGTTTATAAAAGATTTGAGTTCTTGAACTACTTGTTTGTAATTTAGGTTCTAGAGAAGTCCTTTGTGTTCTGTGCCTTTTTCTTCTAGAGAAGAACAAGCCAGAGAGCTGTACCGGAGACTGAGAGAGAAGCCAAGAGGTAAGAGACACTTTAGCTCAAGGTCAGCTTGTTTTGTGCAGACAGTAACTTTGGAGATGCGATAGTGAGCACTGAGAAAGCTTCCTCTGCATTCTGGGCCTGCCCATACGCTAGCTACACATGGATACCGCTGGACTCTCCTTTTTCTGGAGAGGGGAGTCAGTTTCAGACTAGGCCAGCCTTGCTCTCTTGCTGCCTTCTGAGCTCTTCTCAGAGCAGGCTCTTGCTGCCAGCATGTGCTGCTGCCCTGTAGGAAGGATGAAAGACGCGGCTGTTCCTTTGCGCCGCTCCACAGCCCCAAGGCGTTACCCACCCTACCAATTCTGCTTTCCCATCCTCGTCACTTGGAAGAAGGTGGCTAAAACCCGGTGCAGTTCATCCCCCTCAAACTTGCATGGTTGGAACTTGGGATGTTTCAGGATTGAAGCAGCAGTGGAAACAAGACATGAAGAATTTTGTGTCCTACAAGCCTGCCTTTCTGTGTAACACTGATTCTCATTCCAGATCAGAGGACAAGCGGCGACAGCCAGGAAATAGTACGACTGCTCCTACAGGCAATCCAGACCTTTGAGAAAAAGGTCCGGGTCATTTATGCTCAGCTCAGGTAAGGGCTGTGGAGTCAGCGTTTACTGAGGGTTGAGAGAAGTTGCCCAGAGCAGCTGTGGATGCCCCATCCCTGGGAGTGTCCAAGGCCAGGCTGGATGAGGCTTGGAGCAACCTGGTCTAGTGGAAGGTGTCCCTGCCCATGGCAGAGGGTGGGACTGGATGGGCTTTAAGGTCCCTTCCCACCCAAACCATCCTGTGATTCCATGAGAAAGCAGTTTTTCCTTCAGCAAGAGGTTTTGTAGTAGAGGTTTGAAACCAACTAGTGAGACCTCGGAGCGTTACAGGAAAGAAGCAGCTTCAGAGATGTTCCCCTGCTGCAGTTGCCCCTGTCTGATCTGATTATTTTTGTAACAGTAAAACTGTAGTTTGCAAGCAGAAGGCACTGGAATTGTTCCCCAAAGTGGAGAAAGTGATGAATCTGATGAATGAAGATGAGGAAACAGTTGTTCGGCTTCAGGAGAAACGACAGAAAGAACTGTGGAACTTGCTGAAAATTGCTTGTGTGAGTAAAATGGAAAAACTCCAGTTTAACCTGAAAATAGGGTTTGTAGCACAGGTTACTGAAATAATTAATAGGAAATTTAGTATGTCCTATGATTCTTTTTTTTCTGTTATTTTGAATTAGTACTAAAGCCAAGTTCTAGGTTCCCATACTCCTGGCTGTTGGAAATGAGTGGAAATAACGGCAATCTGAATATTTGTGTGTCTTCTTCAGAGTAAAGTACGTGGTCCCGTTACCGGCAGCGCAGAGAGCATGAGCACAGCACGTCTAGGCAGCCCTGGTCAGCTCCTGCTGCAGGTCCCTTCGGGAACCTACGACTTAGCAGAATCCGTCAGGAAAAGGTGAGGCAAAGCCTGGAGTCGTGTAGCCACTAGCGCCAGTGCTACGAAGCTGGGGCTCCCGCGTGGTGAAGCAACGACACGCGCTGTCTCGCATCTCGCACTTCGTGTTCGGCGTTCGTTGTCAGCAGCGCGTTGCCTGGTAGCTGCACTTCCTGGGGGAAAACTGGGAAATAGCGTGTAGCTTTGCTCCACCGCCTCAGTCACAAGGGGTCTGTTTCGTCTCCAGTGGGTGGGCTCACTGGAACTACACTGTCTGTCGGAGCTGGGGGGGCATTGCCGTGCAAGGCGATGGTAGCACAGGTGGCCGTAACCAAGCACGTGTAGTTCTGGCTGCCGTGAAGGAGCTGGGTCACTGACAGACTTCGGTTTGATTATCTGCATGTTGCTTAATCCTTTGCTTTTGGACTTTTCCCAAGGGCAGGGAGTGACGGGTTTAAACGGAAAGTGGGAGATTGAGATGGGACATGAGGAAGGAATTCTTCCCGGAGAGGGTGGGGAGCACTGGAACAGGTTGCCCAGAGAAGCTGTGGATGCCCCATCCCTGGGAGTGTCCAAGGCCAGGCTGGATGAGGCTGGGAGCACCCTGGTCTATGGAAGGTGTCCCTGCGCATAGCAGGGGGTGGCACTGGGTGGTCCTTAAAGTCCCTCCCAACCCAAACCCTTCTGTGATTTATAAGCTGTTCTGCAACTCAAGCAACAGCGACTCCCCAAAATAATAACCCAACTCCAGCTTGGAACATCCTTCCTTTCCCCTACCCCAGTAAAGCTGGGGATGCCACTGACTTTCCCAGGAGCAAAATGAATTTATTGGCTTCTGAGCTGGCTGGTCAAGCTCAGTATTCTTCAGTGCTCTGCAGCACACCTGCCCGAAGTATTTCTTAACAGTCGAGACAGCATCTCTTGGCACAACACTGCCATGGCAAATGATTGTGTACTCACTGTCCCTTTCAGCGAGGAGCTGCTGCTGGAATCACAGAAGCTCTGTACCCAACTAGAAAATGTGATGCACGACACAATGAAGGATCAGGAGCAGAGCTTCATGGTAACGTGTCTGATACTCTTGGGTAAACGCACAGGGGAAGCTCGTGGCTTCAGACTTCTGGTTGTGTAACTCTGCCACCAGCGCGGCTAACAGACAGCTGCGTGTGACTCTTGGACAAGGAGAGAGTGGGGGTTGTGGGAGACGGAAAGCGCCCACTCGGACTGCTGAGTGACGTGTTCCCTGCTCACTGAGAACATGAGCCAGGCTGTTCTGGACAGGAGCTGGGGACTTAAGTTGTGCCCAGCTATGAACGATGGGGGAAGGTGCTTGGCTGTTGCACAGAAATACTGAAAGATTACACTCTTAAAATGGGGGTGGGCTTGTGGTGGGCAGGGATGCTTGTCTAACGAAGCAGGATACGGAAGGAGTAAAATAGTGGAGAAGTAGCTTAAGGGTTTCCTTTAGTCACATGGTGCATCCCAAAACAAGGTTGTCCAGGTTGTTCGCAGTAACCCTTCCAGAGCGCTCCGGGGAAGTCTCGGCTGTGAGCTGGTGCTGAACCTCACGGCTCTGACTCTGTCCTTCAGGCTCTAGATTGGAGCTGGCTGCAGCTTCACGCTGAAGAAACCAACAGCCCAGAACAAACCCAGATGTAAAGTCACTTCGGTTGCCCCTGAAGACGTGCTGCTTCAGGAACCAACTGTGAAAAGCTGCTGCACCCGAGAAGGGAAGTGCCTCCCCTTACTGTCACCTACAGCTTGCGTGATGCACGCGGCCTCGCTTCTAGTATCCACCTCTCGGACACTGTTTTCACAGAGACACAGTAGGAAATGCCTGTTCTGCTTGGGAAAAGCTCTGAATCGTGCCTAAAGACAGATGTTCTTGGTCTGTCCTGATCTGTCTTCCCTGAGAGGCATCACAGGGGGTTGTGCTGCCACTTAGGCTTTGTGAGGAACAGTGGCCAAGGCCTGCAATCAGCTTTTGCGCCGTCGCCGGTAGATGTCACCTTCCTAACAGCCTTGAACTGTGAACTTGATTTCTTAACTTTGCTGATTTGCACTTTTTTTTCCCCTTAAGTGTAACGGTTGTACTTGCCTAATACTTGTTTCCTATATGGGAACGAAATTACCTAAACCATGTAAACTTTTGGTTTGCTCTTTTTGATACCCTCAATAACATTTTAATGAAAAAGCTGCTTTCACTGTGCAGATCTCTAACCCTCGAGGGGGCAAGGATGTTACCACAGACGAAGGAAAGCTTCAGTGTACACGTGTAGTTTAACAAAGTAGCGATGGATTATCTACTAATTGCACCAAAACAAACCCCACCCCTAGCTCAGTGGAGCACAGCTTTTCTCAACCTTACTGAGACGAGACACTGTTGTCTTCCAACTGTGACCGATTTATTTCACTCTGACATAAACCCACGTTTCCACTACAGCACAGAGACCACCTTTTGCAGAAGGTTGTGAAGTATGGGACATGCAGGATGCAGTACAACAAGGGGGACAGGTGGGATTTTCTTCTGTTTTCAGGAACAGATTTAAAACACAAGAGACTGAAATGTGGCACAGACATCACGACTTCCATGCATGCCTTCAAGTATCCTCAGCAGCTGTGCTGGCACTCTCTGGAGTTCGGTGTTGGGTTGAAATGGTTCTTTGGAGGAGTAGAGAGTTCACGCTTCTTGAAATTTCAGAACAATATTAAGGCCGAAACACACTGGGTACATGTTTCCTTCATCTTCCAGAGCACCACCTGTTGTGTTTCTTAAAGCTGCATTAAGCTTCCAGCTCAAATCCCAGCCCGATTTTGTGACCTCCAGCACTGAAATTCTTGCCATCAATCAAGCCCGAGAGGGTCAGCTTTACACCTAGGAGAGCACATAATGAGACCAGTGTGTTTATTTAATGAGACCCTCTAGTGGAGGGTGTCCCTGCCCATGGCAAGGGGTGGGACTGGGTGGGCTTTAAGGTCCCTCCCAACCCAAACCAGTCTGATTCCATGATACATACATGGATACTCCTGTAACACACTCTCCCTCGTGTACTCGAGCCTCACTAACGTGCCTCAGTTGCTACAGGAACTTGTGTACATACACCCCCTTTATTCCCATCAGCCTGTGTAAGATCTCCACTGACTTATCTTTCTGCTCTGGAGATGACAGTAAAACAACCCAGTGTAGTACTAATGCTATTTGCTGCTAACTGTTGGACTTACCAGGTCGGAGGGCGTGAGTGTAACCGATTCCAATCAGGCTGGCATTATTCACTTTAGCCTACAGGGAAGGAAGAAATCGCAGTATTTATACACAATCTGTAAATACTCAGAGCTGTCCCGGAGCCCTGAGAAGGTGGCTTATGCAGTAACTCCTTTAGCTGCTTGTGGACTAACCTCTAGCAGAGGTGCATTCCAATCTTTTCCTTTTCTCCTCAAGAGTTTCCAGCTTAAGCTGTAACAGGCTTAAGTAACACCTGCAGTCTCTCCCACAAACTGTGACCCGCTGTCCTGTCCTTCCCTGCCCCCAGCGTTCTCCCTTTATATCCCTTTAAAGGGCTAATTACTGCGGTCCCCAAGTAGCCAATCAAGTCTGTCTTGTTCACAGGCCCCTCTCCACAGATTGCTTGGCAGTGATTTCTTTTTAACGAGCAATAAATATATGAATACACAAACCAGTTTGCCACCTCCCATGCTTTCTCAGGAACTAGTTAAAGCAGCTACTTCGTACCACCCATTTTCAGAATTTAAGGGAGCTTGAACCATTCCTGTAACCCGATTCTTACCACAATGGAAGTCTTCTCATCCAGTTGGTACTTCGCAGCAATGCCAAAGCGCGTGTTGTTACTGCCGGCAGTCCATGCCAGATTGACCGACGTCTCAACCTGATTATTGACCTTCTGATAAATAGACCCACCAAACTCGGTGCCATCGTTCCTGTTCGTAACAGACGCGAGCGTGTCAAGCCTTGCCTTAGTAATTCTTCCCATTAACCCCACAACCATTTGATCGTTATCCCTTAAAACAAACCAAGAGCTCCAACGCTTCCCTTGCTCATCTGCTTCCTGCCCGGAGCTGCCAGACTCCAGGTTTCACCCAAAACATGAGTTCTGCTTGCGGAATGGAACAAGACTTTCCAACCACTGAGACCTGCAGTTTGGGGTTACCCAGCCCAGGTAACGTGCGTGCTTGTCCTAAGAGAGCAAGCCTGCGAGGAGGCATGAAGGGACAGACCCAGGAGGAGCCTTAAGTCGGTTATGGGAACGATGAGGCTGAGAAAGATCATCAAAGATTCTCGGAGCGTCTGCATGCCAGGACTAGAGCTATACTGCAGTGACAGCTGGAAACACAAGGCAACACACCTCTCCTCCCCACCTCGGGCATTTCAGAGCCAGAAGCTTTCTGTCTGGTGGCGAGGGGGGCAGGGTGCAGTGGCTTAATGAAAGGCTCTTCTATCTAGCACCAAAACACAAGTTTACAGGTTTTCATTGCAAATTAACATCATAAAGTGCCTTTATGCCACTGTCTTATATACACAAAACCCAAAATCACCCTGAAACAAGGTCTCAAAAGACAGCCAAGAGTTGGAAAGTTGTCCCTGCTTCAGTTACACTGAAGATGAAAACACCAAATATAAATATTTCAAGACAAATCGGCACCCCCTTCCATCCTCCCACTCCAGTAACGCTCACTGCTCATCCAGTTTGGCTCCTCTGGTGACATTTTTCTAGGCTCAGGTAATACTCACACATTAGTATGCAGCTGAAAGTCTCCTGCCTTGTATCCCAAGGCAAAGTTATTTTGTGAAAGCTTGGACTTGGCTGTATCAAAAGCCATCTGATAGCCAGCAAGCCAGCCTTCGTAGCCCAGCACTGCCCAGCCGTAGATGGTTGGTCCGGAGAGATCAATGTCTATGTTGCAGCCTAGATTGACATATTCTCTTTTGTAGGAAGTCTTCAACTTTCCGCTCTTCTTCCTGCAGAGAGAAACATGCCCTTTGGTCCCTGGCAGTGTACAAGTATGATACGCAGTTTCATTCACGTATGTGTGTCCCTTCAGGCCGGTTAACGAAATGACTGTAATGCCCACTCAAAACTCAAGAGCGGCTGAAGAGAGCCTGGGTAAGGATAATACTGCTATTATGTATGGTTATGTGGTGCCACTTTTTCCTCCACCTTCTCAAACTCCTTAAAATCCTCACAAAGCAAAACCAGCACAAGCCTTGCTGCTTAGTGCTCTAAACCCAGTCAGGTTTCACGCTTTGTTGTCCGCAAGCGAGTGCACGTGTTCCTTCAGGTGCAGCCACTGCTGCCCTTCCTTCACCACCAAGCCTTGCTGCTTAGTGCTCTAAACTCCGTCAGGTTTCACGCTTTGTTCTCCGCAAGTGAGCGCATGTGTTCCTTCACGTGCAGCCACTGCCGCCCTTCCTTCACCACTGGACACCAGTCTCCTCTACTGAAAATGAACTTCCTCCTCCTTCAGACATCATCCACTAGGCAGCCTTCTTCCGTCCTTCTGGAGGAGTCTCTTCCTTCCAAGTGTTATCCTCACTTGGCTATCAATTCAAACTTAACTGAGACCAGATTTTGTCACCTCCTTAATCCTCTCCCCAGCCTCCTTCCTTTCCCACGGAAGACACAGCAGAACATGCTCCCTGTCACTCATACCCAAGCCTGGGGTCTCATTTCTGACTTAGCTTCTAACTCCTTCCATCCAAGCAGTATTTCCTGATTTTTCCAATAGGCTCTTCCCAACAATAAAGAAATAACAGTAATTATTTACAGAGCAGACTCGGGCTTTATGCATTCTCCAGATACAAACACCCCTCCTTTGCTCTACTGCCTACCGAAAATAAGCACATGGTAACTGAGAATGACAAAGAAGTGCCTATCCCGCTGCCTGTCGTAGTCCCTGTGTGGTTCCGCCCCTCATTCCATGGTTCATGCACATCTGCCCGGGAGCGCCAGGAAAACACATCATTCTGCTGGGCGTTCTCACGGCGCCGAGTTGACGGCAGCAGGACAGAACGATGGGAATAAGCATTTCTAATTAAAAGTCATGGGAAGTTCTAGCACTCCTTAGGTAAAGGTAACAAGTACTTACCCTGTGTTTGGTACAAATGTAGTGTCAAGAGCCACCTTCAATCCCTCAGCCAGCTGCGAAGGAAAACAGAGACATGGGCTCAGAACTGCGCTGATGTGAGATTTGTTACATTCCACCACTACAGCTCTACTTCCTCTCTAGAGAGACGACAGACCAGGACCAGAATGTCTCCCACAGGTTTTACAACAGAATCTGAAGATGCTGTATGATGAGGCATTAAAATTTGGACTTTTTCTGCCCCTGATGAGGCGCTGCTTTGCCGATATGTCATTACAGGGAGATTTCAAATCTGGTGTTGACAAGAAATTATGTTAAAGAAAGAAACCCGTTTGGTTCATGTTTGCTTATTCCCTACTCCACACGGTAGCTCACAACTCTCGGCATCGTACAGGCATTCTTGGAAGACACGGTCCTATTTCACGGGCCAAGCGCTGGACCTGCCCTCGGCCTTCCCAGCCTCGCTTTGAGCTGGACAGCGTTTCCCATTTGAAAGCACGGGTCAAAGTGCAAAACCGTAACGACAGAAATGGATGGCTGTACATGCTGGACGGCACCTCCGAAATTCTACCACCTCTGGCACCTTCACCTCACGCTTTGGGGATTTAGTGCAAAGCATGAAGCTATTCCTTGGAAGGACTGTGTGCTTCCAGAGTGCTGCAGGCTGGCAGCCCTTGGCACGAGCAGTGCCAAGCTGCAAATGCCGATCTTTGCAACCTTACAAAATATATTCCACCTCAGGGCA